TTTTTTTTTTTTTTTTTTTTTTTTTTTTTTTTTTTTTTTTTTTTTTTTTTTTTTTTTTTTTTTTTTTTTTTTTTTTTTTTTTTTTTTTTTTTTTTATCAAAAATAAAAAAATAAAAAGAAATTATAATAATCTATGACACTAATGGATAATAATATATTGTCACCATCACCACCATCTTCGCAACCTATATTACCACAAAAACGCAGTAGTAATCAGTGTGATACACCAGAATATATGAATTATAAAAAACAAGCGACTAATAAATCTAAAATACAAAGTAATTATACCCAAGCTTGCCTTTTATTACATGCTATCGAAATAAATAGAAGACAAATGTTACACCCACGTTGTATTGGTAAACTTAATAAAAAAATTAAAAAAAATATATATTAATATTTTTTATATCGAGAAAGATTATTAATAGTTGACTTTTTTTTTTTTATATCAATATAAAAATTAGCTCATTTAGCCAATTTTGTTGCAAGAGCTTGGGAAACCAATCCTAATGAGATAAAAACACAACAATTATATCAATTGATGCAAAATTTATTATCCACCACAGCTATTAAACAAACCACTTTAGAAAATGCTCTAATCACCTTTTGTAAAAATAAAGCTTCTACACCAACACCTTGTTCTAGTGTCACTTTATTAATTGCTATTAGTTATATTGAAAAATTAAAAAAGGTAATTTATAAATGAAGATCCTCTTTGATTTTCATTTTATAATAAATAATAGTCGTGTATATTTATATCCATTTATATTTTATTTTATTTTATTTTTATTATAGAAATATGGAACAATTAAAGGCACAGTTGGATGTGGATCCCGATTAATCACCATAGCTTATCTTATTGCTGCTAAATTTTTACATTCCAATTTAAAATTAATCATACATGTTCCTACTTCACCACCACCATCGCCTCCAACGTCACCCATTTTATTTACTGATTCTATAAATTCTTCTACTTCGCTCCCCTTATCGATAAATTCTATAAATAATAATAATAATAATAATAATAATAATAATATAAACGCAAAAACAACTATAACAACTAATGCTACTACGAATAATAAAAATAACAACAACGATAAAACAGTTGAACCTTTTACAAATCTAACTCCACCATCACCATCGCCATCACCATCGCCATTGCCAACGCCATTGCCAACGCCATCTAATGATAATAATAATACTGATAATAATAATATACCTATGGCACTTTCAAATAATAATTTATTAAATATATCTACTTCTACTACTTCTACTACTTCTTCTTCCACGTCAACGACCTCGTTCAATTCAACATTAAATGATTATCATCTACGTATATTAAGATTAGAAATGGAATTTTTATATTTTTTGGATTATGATTTATCATTACCAGATCCGGCTAAATTAGTTAGATGGGCGAATACCTTTGATGCTACTAATGAATTAATAGATGAATGTACTTCAGCAGATGAAGGGGATGATGAAATGGATGATGAAATAGATACTTGTTCTTTGAATTAAAATAATATTTTTTTTGTTTGACTAATTTATTTATTTTATTTTATTTTATTTTAATAATAATAATAATAATAAATATATACCTCTACCCGTGTGTGTATCAACAATTGATTACTAATCATTTCAATAATTGTCGCCATAAAACCCCACTCTTTTTTTTTAAATTTACTTCCAGCATCTTTTTTTAATATTTTTCTTGTTCTTTTGTTAAAAAAAACAGTATAAAATATTTTGTAAATAGTTTATTTGTAATGGTCGATTTTCGATATACAAATATACATATAAAGTAAGTGATAATTTAGTTTTTTTTTAAAAAAAAGGTTGTTTACATTTTTGGAACATCGATCTGGTAGTATCATATGATGAATACTAAAAATGGCATGCATAAAAGTTGTTTTCGAGCGTAAAAAAATCTGACCTTAATTTGGAAATCATTTTTTTGGAGTCTTTTTTAAAAAAAAGAATTTTAGTTTTTTTAAAAGTCCACACTTTTTTTTCCTTACCAATTTTTTTTTTTTTTACCATGACACTGTTTGCTAATACCCATCTGTCATTATCCAAAGGGTTACATCCGCGTATAAATACCACCATCTATCACACCATTCATGAAAAAAAAGAAGATGATAATAATAAAATAGAATTTGTTACTATACCACTTTCGCCACCATCACCTTATACTATTGCCACTTGCGCCTTGGATATTGTTTATACCTTACCACCAAGTCTTTTTGTAGATCGATACCAATTGAGAGATCTTTATCATGATATTGATTTTTTAATAGATGATGGTGACGCAGATTTAGAAGCTCCTTTGGAGCTTGTTCCTTCCGATCAAGCCTCCACTATTATTATACGTAATCAAGTAACAACAGAACTGATGACTCATTTACGTTATCAACGACCTGATTTAGAACAAACTCACCGTATCATTGATGTTCCTTTACCAAAAGTAGGTTGGCTATGTCAAAACGTACATAAATCATCATCACCATCGCCACTATCACCAACTTTATCTCCTCCAACTTTAAAAGAAGCTTTATCATTTTATTTAAATAACTATCCACATCCAAACAACAATAATAATAATAATCAAAATAATAATAATGATTGGACTTGGTTACCTATTTTATCATCATCTAATATGGATCATCATCAACAAGACCCAACTTCATCATCTTCCCTTCAAATCCAATTACCAGTAGGAAATTTGAATGATGTTATGATAGTTCAATGGGGAACCATTGTTTCTATTATTTTAGGTACCTTGTGGATTTTATGGTCAGTAGCGGCTGCAGTCAAAAAACATCGTAGACATGAAGCAAAAGGAAAACGCCGTAAATCTGAATAAATATAACAATTATTAATAGTTATCAAAGATGGAATAAATAGGATAGTATATAAAAATATTTATAATACGCACACACACATATATATATAAACATGTAAAATTAAATAATAAAAATATTCATTAGTATTATTTTTTAAAAAAAGTAAAATGGTATATGCATTTATGTATATTTTAAAACGGTATTATACAATTTTATTATTCAATCACTATAATAATAATAAAATATAAAAGGAAAAAACAGAGTAAATCGCCATAAAATAAATAGAATATTGCATGCAGTATTAAAAAAAATAGAGTTTTATAATATAAATAAAGAATTTTTGTTCAAAAAAGTAGATCGCTTTATGAGCAATAGTCAGAAAAAATAATAATTCATAATTATATAAAATATAATAAAATAAAGCGATTATTTTTTTAAAATAATAATAATAAAGCGATCACTTTTGGTTAAATATATATATATATATATATATTAACCAAGTAGTATGGTATGATTTTATTGTTTAGATACATTAATAATTATAATTATAATAATAATAAAAAGAAAACGAGAAAGAAAACATCATATAATATATATATATATATTTAAAGGTCAATCAAAGGAGCTTCAGGAACAGGTTGCTGCTGCTGCTGCTGTTGTTGTTGTGGTTGTTGTTGATGCTGTTGTTGTTGTGGTGGTTGATGTTGTGGGAATTGTTGATGGGTAGTAGTGATTTGTGCTTGATACTGATTAGAAGGATCATGATATCCAAGAGTTGGTTGTTGTTGTTGATATAGTGGAGCTTGAGTTGTATAACCTTGAGTGGATTGAGCTTGCTGTGATTGGTCATAGGATTGGGGTGGGTACGAAGGCACAGTTGACATAGTTTGCTGTTGCTGTTGTGGTAACTGTTGATATTGATTATTAGTATTATTAACAGGAGAAATAGAATGTTGATGATGATAGGTTGATGAAGGGGTGGGTTGTGATTGTGGTTGTGATTGTGGTGGTAATTGCTGTTGGTATAGATAATTTGTAGAAGGAGGCTGGTTATAAACTGGAGAAGAAGCAGGCTGTTGTATAGGTGGATAAAGAGCAGATGATACTGGGGAAGTATATGTTGTTGTAGAAGATGAAGGTTGATTGACGTAGTTATTACTATTGGTATTATAATATGAGGCAATCGATGTTCTATCCATGGACCGAAGATGGGCACTTGATACTCTTTGTT